TTTATTTAAACTTCAAAAACAAGTTAATCGCCCGACTGCGCCAATCTAGGTAGTACTGGCCATAGTTTCGAACTGTAAATTTCCTAGCATCTGCCCCGAAATTATAGTTGTTATAGGGTGGAGTTATTTTAAACCGTCATAAGTCGTAAAACAGGTGCAATCAATTCTGTTGGGTGGTCATTGTCAATAGATGGCAAAAATTAGAGTTGAGAATTTGTTGGGATTGCCGAGTAAATTAGAGCAGCCAGTGTACAAGTGAATAACACCACGGGTTGTTTTTTTCGGTTTAAGCCCTTGCCACACCCACTTCGCCCCATGGTGTTTTCTACACTTAGCATATAATTCTGCATATAATCAATTATTAGGTTATATTATGATTGTTGATACTGTGTTTTGCACATTAGCATTTATTTGTAACCCTATGTTAAGCCGAATACTCCAGCTCTACCGATTTGCGAGATCTGTCACAAACTCACGGTTTAACGAAAATTCATTCTTCGATCGCTGGTAATATGTACTCATAAACGTCTCACAGTCATAAATTTATTTAACGTTTTTTTTTTATTCCAGAAACATATCACTGTCTCTGGCGATAATATGCAAAGAAATAATTCATAAAAAGTGCGGCTAAATAGGGTCCATCAACATGATTCCTAACGATTTAAACTCGCTGTATGCGATATCGCGCCAACTCCTATTGATTCTCATTGAACAAAGGTGTCTCTTATAGCTGAAATATTCCACGCTTCGTATGTAATTTACATGTAGATGTGCAATATGAATAAACTAAATAATTCAATATTCTCTCTCAGGAAATGATTGATTTGAACACATTTTATCAGATATCGTATAAATACGATAACATTTTATTTCATCATATATACGTGTATGTTAGACGTATACATTGCGACTGTTTATAATCACACAGTTGAAAAATACTATGTCTTGCGTCCGCGAATACGATGAGCAGTTTCTCTAGCATGAAGTTGGGCTCTTTCTGTATTTTTCATTCTGTAAATGTAAATTAAAAGAATTTTTAATCTATTCAAAAACGTACAGTTGGGGTATGTGTCTTTGAATTGCAATATTATTATAATCAATGACAATTTACTAATTTTAATAAATGAAACTAATTTAGTAGGACTTACTAGTAATTGCGTAAAGTAGAAATCTCGAATTAATGAAAATAGCTGTAATTACTTGAATTAATCGAAATTTATAAACACAGCAATAATTCGCATGATGCAAGAAAACAAACAAAATGTGAGACACTGTCAAACACATTTTTTATCAATCAGATAAAAACATCAAATACTGTACAGTCAATCAGTCAAATCCAATATGGTAATTATTCAGACGCAAACGTGTGTAACTTTGCAGCGTTTATACTGTTTTTGTGCATTGAAGCATGGGATGTGGATCGACTAAACACATAATTCGCAGAGTGGCCACAAAATACCGATTTGTTGTTGAATTTTGGGATTGCGTTCCTTGAAAATAAGGTGTAAACCCGGAAGATACGTTGTATTTCTAATTGCAATCAGCATTTGAACAAATGTGTTTTAAATAACCATAAAACAACCAAAGACATAATTAAAGATAAACGTGAAAACGTGTTTTTCAAAAACGTCTCTCTTCACATGACAAATACGAACTAATCGTCTGTACTTACCCGCTTCTGACTGCATCTTGTTCATTTCTCCGACCCACCACACGAGATCCCAAAGTCATCGTACGACCCCAGTTAATAGCTGTAGCTGTGTCGATCCACAAAGCTACAACCAGTATTACCATCACACACACCCCTGTTACGTTTTTCATCTTGACAAAGTGTTATTTTTCGCTGTTTGTAAAAGAGAAAGTAAAAGTTGTTATTGGAAGTGAGTTATTTAATTCTGCAATTTGAGTTTCTGGCGTCATCCACCAGATTCGTCGAAGGTATAGGTCGTAACCGTGTTTCCTTTCAACCCTAGTCGGCATGAGATCACATCAGCCTAATGAACGAACTCCTAGACTGTCGATAAATATAAAATTACATTTGATTTCTAAATTAGTAAAATTTTAGGTAGCTGAAATAAACTTTGATGAACGATCAAGTGCATTTTAATGCAAAAATCTTTACAAATAAGCTTAAAACTACATACCTTTCGAACGTACCACCGATGATAGTCTGTTATATGCTTTACCGTATCTGCATGGGGAATATATAATAATAATACATCTATTAATTTTCCTGTAAGGGCGGGTCATTCATCTGACACATTGATTTGCCTAATTTCAAAGTCATGGTTAATCACCGTTGTCATATACAAGGATTCCACTTATTCGTCACAATGATAATCCATCTATTCCTGAACGTACTGATCAATAAATTGCAAAAAAGTTTGGGAAAATATTACGTTATTGGCCAATGAGAAGTGACGGGTCCTATTTAGTGACATGTTCTCCTGAGTGTTCTCCAATAATATAATCTTTTCCCATTCACGCAGAGCTAACTTCAAATTTATTTTATTTTCTCAATATGAATCATTTTTTCGTTTTCAGTTTACTATGTATTTCGCTAATATTGACTTAACAGACAAATGAATAATTGTTCTATTGCATTTCATGCAGTTTACAACTTCTCAAGGTTTTTTTTTTACATTCGAACCTAAATAGTCGCATTTAGGAGATAATCGAAAATTTATGTATTTATTATGTTTTTGATTGGACAATATTGAAATATATCTAAGAAAAAAATCACCAATATCTACAAGTAATCAATTTTAGGAGTATCGTATTATCGTTCCTGTTACAATGCTGTCAAATTATTATTAATTATTATTAAGTTATCAGATTTAATTTCATGTGTGTAATTATGAAATAATTACAAGATAAACTTATTTCCTGACAGCACTAATGATGAAACTACATTTTGACAGCATGTGCATATATTTACATATTCTGTTACATATTAAAGTTTTAAAATGTACAATAATTGCGGCGGAAAGCCATTTACTTCACTAATTAGCTTATTTTATAAGCAGTGGATTGAATAGTCATATGGCCTAAATGTGATTATTGTCTGAACGGTACAGTTGAAGCAGTACCCTTTGAATAACGCGTACGAGTAAGTTTACTATAATTATTTCAAAGTTGTTCGATTGAAGCAATTCTTTTTGCTGGCTGGCTTTTTCAGTCATCTGTCGTTATCCACCAACATTTTAATTGTTGATCTCACTTGAAAACCCGCGTAAGGTCTTATCGATGCATTTGCTAGGATTGTCCCAGACAGATTCAACATTCAAACATTTGCCGCCGTTTTCGACCTTTTCTTACTGTCATTTATGGTTATTCTCAGTTAAAATACGTTCAATGAAACAGTAAAGTTAATTACAATAAATAAGAGGGGTCAAAACTTCGCGTCGTAACACCATACAAGTAATATTCGTCGTTATCATCATTTTATTTTGTGTATAATAATGTTATTTTGCCTTAAATAACGAGTAGTTTTATATTTGATATTATTATCTTTCGGTCAAAATGAACAATTTACAAGTAACCGGGTTTTCGATTTTTTTCCAATAAGTGCCATTATCTAATATATATTTTTTTGTGTAAACACATTGAACCCACAGTAAAAAGCGAGTTGTTAAATACACGTTTTATGTATAACTTGAAACACACTTGGGGTGTTAATTAGATAATTCAGTGGAACCTGAAAAACGGTATTACATTTGTTGTTCAGTATAACTTCAGCTCATCAATTGCTTCATTGAATATAAATAAATAGAATTATAAGATGTAAACAAATGAATGCACATTATATTGAAGTATTACTTGAAAAATCTATGAAGATCCATAATTACACATACCACTATATGCAAATGTTATTCAACGAATATGTTCTCAGCAAACGATGTGTTTCTTTGTTTATCTGACTTTCCTGATATACATATTTTTTGTAAAACATATTATATTCAGAATGCGCCGAGCCATCACTATACAGATCTTGTGTGTGGATAATATACATGCCCCCCCACACACACACACCGCCCGGTACGTGCACCATACATTGGGTAAGATTACCGTATTAATTACGATGTTTCACTTGAAATGTAACCTTCCTTTATGCGTTATATATATGTGTGCTGCTAAGTACTATTGATTGTTCAATAATTATTAATGGGTTGACTTATATTGAACAATGTCTGTTGCTAGTAAATTACTCTTGACTTGACTTGATGCTTCATACATTAGTAAATAATTGATTCTCAGAAAAGTGTTTCATTATCAAAGGTTATCAGATATTTATATGAATTACTGTAAATCTTTGTATTATTGTGGCTAACATTTTTTGCGGGTTGGTGATTAAGAGCGTATATATGAAAACTGTTCGCGACCACTGTTATAATTACTAGTATATATTTTTAGGATCCAAGTTAAGCATTCACTGCCACAAACGTGAAAATGACATGTGAAATAGTTTAAGAAAATTTGCAAGTCAAAGAACACAAAACAAACGACTGATGACAATCTACAAGTACAAAACAAACATACCAAGTATATATATACTGCATAGCCGAATCAGCAAAAGAAGGAAATATGAACTGCATGGTATATATTAAGTTATATCATGTGTTTATAAAAGAGTGAGCATGTCTTGCTTAATATGTGGATGTTTCGCGATTTTGTCCGAGTCATGATTTCCTTTCTCGCGGAAAATCTTCGTTCTGGCCACTCAAATAGACCTTTTATCGCCTCTATTGTTTTTACTGATCTGTGTAAGAATGATGCTTGGGACAGTTGACATAATGAATGGAGAGAATTTGACTATTTGAGGGACTAAAACAAGTGTCTAGTTCTTTAGCATAATTTAATCAGGTCACGTACTACATTGCTTATCGCAGACTAAATTTACTTTCAATGTCAACATGGATTATTTAGTGCAGTCATGTTTATTTTGCAGCTGTACCGTTTATTATATATTTATGCATTAAGTTTCCAACTCTAACACTTTTGTTTCGTCTTTTAGCAAGAATGGGTTCAAAACACAGAGACGTGGTGTACCACATACTGATTACCACATACCACAGACTGATTACAAAAGAACTCTTGGAGGAACACCAAAAAAGCTGCACATAGAATAATTTATAATTGTATAATGTACGAAAAGTGTACGAAAAAGCATTTAATAAATTATTGTAAAATCTCATTACGATTTGTCAATTAATATTACTGATTATTCACATATAATGGATCTCTACAAAATGCGCAAGAATATTGTCACTAACTTTCAAAATAGTTAGGCACTACTACGCATATGCAATCAAATAAATTCAAATAAATAATTCCTATTTCGGCACGCCCGAGGGCGCTATTACTTTAAAGTAAATATGTGACTATTTGTAATCAATAACAGTCCGATTTCTCTCACAAGGAAACATATGCATATCAAGGTGCCCAGTGGATACATAAGAATGCAATTTTGATTAATACTGATTAATAATCGTGTTTATATAAAATAAGTATTGTAACACATCTTTCCTATAAATCGCGTCCTTTACCATGGTAGCGTTGCTATGACACACATTGCAATTAAAAACAATCTTTTTTTATATGATAGCATGTTATAGCCTCGCCTTGATTTTTGCGGGCGTATTACAATTATTTTATGTGGTGTATCCTGTGGCATATTGCGTTGTATTCTGTATCATGTAAATGTTACCGGCCGCGCTCATGTCACACATGTCACTGTGTTCGCCACATACATGTAGAAACAAAATTTATTTTTGTTTACAGAATTTAAGTAACAAGATACAACCTTTGAACATTATTGAGACATATGACAATTTCATACGTATTGTATAAATAAAAATAAATAAATAAATAAATAAATAAATAAATAAATAAATAAATAAATAAATAAATAAATAAATAAATAAATAAATAAATAAATAAATAAATAAATAAATAAATAAATAAATAAATAAATAAATAAATAAATAAATAAATAAATAAATAAATAAATAAATAAATAAATAAATAAATAAATAAATAAATAAATAAATAAATAAATAAATAAATAAATAAATAAATAAATAAAGGATAATGATGGGGACCGCGACTTGGTATCCAGAACGTATGTGTGGTATAAATTCAAAGTACGTGCGAAATTCAATGAATCGTCGAATAATAATCAACATTGGGAGGCAAAGTTATTAAACAAAACAGTTGAGGAACATATTTGAAGACATAATGACACGTTTGAAGTCATATTAATTTGTTCTGTTCACGAAACAAACAATTAAAATAGACATGAAGGCAAAGTTATTAAACTAAAACTATTAAGTCATATTAATTTGTTCTATTCACCATCACCTATGGGTGAAGTAAAAGCAAATTATCAAACTAAAACTATTGAGGCACACTTTTGAAGCCATGCTAATTTGTTCTATTCACGAACACCTAGTGGTGAGATGAAGACAGTTATTAGACTAGAACTACTGCGTGACACTTTTGAAGTCATATTAATTGAATCACGGACACCTAATGTTGAAATAAATTCAAATCATTCAACTAAAACTATCGAGGGACACTTTTGAAGACTAGGGGACACTTTTGAAGACTAGAGGACACTTTTGAAGTCATATTAATGTGTTCTATTCACGAACAACTAATGGTGCATAATTTAATAAACTAAAACTACTGCAGGACACTTTTGAAGACAAGAAGACACTTTTGAAGTCATATTAATTTGTTATATTCACGAACAACTAATGGTGACATTAATGCAAGGTCATTAAATTAAACCTATTAAGGGACACTTGTAGACATTGGGACACTCTTGAAGTCATGTTAATGTTTTCTACTAACGAACAACTGAAGGTGACACGAAGGCATAAAACTATTGAGAGACACTTATGAAGACATGGGGCACTTTCGAAGTCATATTAATTCGGTTTATTTGAGATAACGTAACAGGAATATCTTTGAACACAAAGTCAAGTGTCAACTTAGGTATCCGCATTGCCGTCAAGGCAGTTCACATGTGAAGACTGATATTATCATACAGATTACCGCTCCAAAATGTTTATACAATTGTAGTACCAAATGAAATGTGTTTAGACATGGATACATACTATAATTTAACATACCATGTACGCATTGTAAAAGTAATTTATTTCAAATTTCCAAA